CTTTCAGAATATGGGGTCAAATTTAACCCATGACTTTCACATGACCTTGTAAGAGCATTTCCACACCTTTTTTGCAGGGGAATCCTCCGCCACTGGCTTTAGCCAGTTGCAGTCTAGTTATTATTATTATTATTATTCTTTCCGCGCGTTTTTTTTCGCAAAAAATCTGAAATAATTTACATAGGTAGCCTATGGTAAGTATATGCTATAGACCCAGTTTCAGTGACCTTGACCTACTTTTCAAGGTCACAGGAGCTTTTTAAGGCAAAATTTGTAAAATTTGAAATTGCCATTAGGCCTTAATTATAAGCCATATGGCTAAGTGCCTTATAGCCAATGATACTGAGCCAAATCCACAGATAATGACCTACTTTTATGCAAGTAGGTCAAGGTCAAGGTCGCTAATGGCCAAACGGACTCAAAAAAGGTTTGTTTCCGAGATCTCAAAAACCGGAAGGTCCAGAGCCCCAATCATAAAAGCAAATGATGCCCTATATATTTATCTAAGGTTAGCCTTACTTTGGTAGCGACTGCCTAATTACTTTTTTTAATATAAATTTTTAAATATTTATGACATTGCAGAAATCTTGAGTTTGGCAATTTCTCCATGAAACACTGGTTTTTGGTCATAGCATGCTATAGTAAACTACCCCAAACATATACCCAAAACCCCCAAATCAAATGTCAAATTTGACCTTGACCCTCATTTTCAAGGTCATTTGGCTATTTCATGGAGAAATATTGAAGTGGGCTAAAAGTGATGTTTTGCTGCCCCCCCCCCCCCAATTCGCACATGCTCTTTCAAAATATGGGGTCAAATTTAACCCATGACCTTCACACGACCTTGTAAGAGCATTTTCACACCTATTTTGCAGGGGAATCCTCCGCCACTGGCTTCAGCCAGTTGCAGTCTAGTTATTATTATTATTATTATTATTATTATTATTATTATTATTATTATTTCTTGCCATCCATTCGAGAGAATGCTGAAACTTTTTCTGTCTTATACTTTGTTGCAGATATCAACGAATGCACGGGTTTTCATGGCTGTAGACACTACTGTGTGAACACTGCAGGAAGCTACAGGTGCACGTGTAGAACTGGATATGTATTGCATGGTACTAAAAACTGTTATGGTGAGTTTTACATTGGAGAAAAGAACAAAAGAATGCTGAAACTATTTGTGATTAAGTGCAGCTTCTTTGTTGTCTTATACTTTTTTGCAGATATCAACGAATGCACGGCGTCCCATGGCTGTCAACACAACTGTGTGAACACTGCAGGAAGTTACAAGTGCACGTGTAGAACTGGCTATGTATTGAATGGCACTAAAAACTGTAACGGTGAGTTTTACTTTGGAAAATAGAACAGATATTTCAATGATTGTCTATTTCATTATTATTATTATTATTATTATTATTATTATTATTTCATGTCATGCATTCAAGAGAATACTAAACTATTTGTGCATTAAGTACATCCTCTTTGTTGCCTTATACTTTGTTGCAGATATTAACGAATGTACGGGGTCCCATGGCTGTCAACACAACTGTATGAACAGTGCAGGAAGCTACAGGTGCACGTGTAGAACTGGCTATGTGTTGTCTGGCACTAAAAACTGTAACGGTGAGTTTAACTTTGAGGAAAAGAACAGATATTTTAATAATTGTCTATTTCATTATTATTATTTTTATTTGTCATGTCATGCATTCAAGAGAATACTGAAACTATTTTTAATTAAGTGCATCTTCTTTTTTGTCTTATACTTTGTTGCAGATATGAACGAATGCATGCGTTTTCATCGCTGTCAACACAACTGTGTGAACACTGCAGGAAGTTACATGTGCACGTGTAGAACTGGCTATGTGTTGTCTGGCACTAAAAACTGTAATGGTGAGTTTTACTTTGGGGAAAAGAATAGATATGTCAATAATTGTTTATTTATTATTATTATTTTTATTATTATTTTGTCTTGTCATGCACTCAAGAGAATGCAAAAGCTATTTATGCATTTAGTGCATCTTCTTTGTTGTCTTAAACTTTGTTGCAGATATTAACGAATGCACGGGTTACCATGGCTGTCAACACAACTGTGGGAACACTGCAGGAAGTTACATGTGCACGTGTAGGACTGGATATGTGTTGTATGGCACTAAAAACTGTAACGGTGAGGTTTACTTTGGAAAAAAGAATAGATATGTCAATAATTGTTTATTTATTATTATTATTTTTATTATTATTTTGTCTTGTCATGCACTCAAGAGAATGCAAAAGCTATTTATGCATTTAGTGCATCTTCTTTGTTGTCTTAAACTTTGTTGCAGATATTAACGAATGCACGGGTTACCATGGCTGTCAACACAACTGTGTGAACACTGCTGGAAGCTACAAGTGCACGTGTAGAACTGGTTATGTATTGTCTGGCACTAAAAACTGTAACGGTGAGTTTCATTTTGGGGAGAGGACAGATATTTCAATAATTGTCCATTTTATTATTATTATTATTATTATTATTATTATTATTATTATTATTATTATTATATCTTGTTATGCATCTAATAGAATACTGAAACTATTTTTTAATTAAGTGCATCATCTTTGTTGTCTTATACTTTGTTGCAGATATCAACGAATGCACGGGATTCCATGGCTGTCAACACAACTGTGTGAATACTGCAGGAAGCTACAAGTGCACGTGTAGAACTGGCTATGTGTTGTCTGGCACTAAAAACTGTAACGGTGAGTTTTACTTTGGACAAAAGAACAGATATTTCAATAATTGTCTCTATTATTATTATTATTATTATTATTATTATTATTATTCTGTCTTGTCATGCTTTCAAGAGAACGCTGAAATTATTTATGCATTAAGTGCATCCTTTTTGTTGTCTTATACTTTGTTGCAGATATCAACGAATGCACGGGCTCCCATGGCTGTCAACACAACTGTGTGAACACTGCAGGGAGCTACAAGTGCTCGTGTAGAACTGGCTATGTATTGTCTGGCACTAAAAACTGTAACGGTGAGTTTTAATTTTGGAAAATAACATTATTGTCAATTTATTATTATCATTATTCTAATAAGCAAACAATAGGGAGAACATGGTTATGTTGCAATATTTAATAAGCAAAACAAATGAACAATCTAATACATAGTGAGAACCAAAACTGAAATAAGTTAAAATGAAACATTACAATAAACACCATAGAACCAAGGATTTTAACCCTTTAAAGCCTTAACTATGCCATCCCGTGGTAATTTAGCAGAAGCCTTCCACATTGAAAATAACCATAATTTATGTAACCAATATTTTTTTTTTAGAAACAGCGGTTGTTTCAGGCGCCGATCTCATGGAATAGATTAATTCATTTATTTTCCAGACATAAACTAATGTACTGCAGGCACCCATAGGTGTGATCACACGTGTCACAATTCTATTGGTAGTTAATACTGCACGTGACGAGATGTAAAAAAAAATCATTTAATTCTCCAAAGGTCCGTCAGATGTCAAGAAACATTCTGGATTATATTTCAAAATGTGTACGATAATTCCTCAAAGTTTCGGTTATCTTCTTAATTTGCATCAAAGTTATGTTCTATTAAAATGTATTAAAATTTCTTGAAATTTGATGGACCTTTGCAGGATCCATTAGAATTTTATTTTGTGGAATCTGTTTTTTTTTTTTTTTTTTTTTTTCGGGGGGTGGGGGTGGGGTCACCGTGTATGATTATATCTGAGTTTTTTTTGTAAATTAATGAAAGTCATTAGCTCATGTATCTGTAGCTTACTGCATTGAAATTGCATAGATCAGTATACTGTATTTCATGATGTCGTTATCAAGCGGTCTATATTATGTACTGAGGATTTGTGTGGTGGGTCTTTCTTGTATTCGATGTTCGTAGTGCGTGATTCAGGGACTATTTAACATAATGGGTTAAATGTAAACTAAACAAAAAAGGTAAGGTCAAATCTTTTTTGTAACACGTTTTTTTTCAGATATTGATGAATGTTCCACTAATAAAGGTGGATGTTCTCAAGTATGTTCCAACATCCGGGGAAGTTACCGCTGTAGTTGCAATGTTGGCTATGCCCTGCAGGCGGACAGCCACTTGTGTAGAGGTACATTGCGTTTGCTGTGGTCCCTATAAAAATATAACATGAGTTAGGACTTGATTTTCACAGGCGAGATTTCGATTGTTCCCAATTAAAAAGGGACATCTCGCATTTTGGAACAAAGGCTGATTAAACAAAATGTGATAATTCGTAGTTTATTAATTTTGAAATTATTTAATTAATATTTGATGTCATTATGTAAATCCAGATGTCTAACGAATTGGTTTTTTAACGTAACCAAAGATATCGACGAATGTTCCACTGGCAATGGCGGCTGTGCCCATAACTGCACCAACACCGTGGGAAGTTTCTTTTGTACCTGTAGGACTGGATTTGTATTGGACGGGAACGGTCTGACATGCTCTGGTAAGGCTGATATAGGGTTCATAATAATATAACTCTGTTATCGATACAAATATATATATATATATGTCAAAGTTAACATGGGGTCTGGGCTTCTCAATGCATAGGACTCGATTTTCTTTTGGGGCTTTGACATATACTTTGATATCTGATGGTAGAATCTAATTAATATTTTTGAATGAACTGTGCGTTTGCGTAAACCAAATTAGCTGTTATCCAAAACGTTTAAGTTATGTATTTAGATGATGCACGCGTTCTGTAATGTTGAAAAACAAATCCAAAATGTATGTGTTTACATTTAATTGGTAAAACTTCTGCTGATTATAACCAATATCAGAACTTAATGTGGGCTTATTTATTTTAAATTTAGACCACGACGAGTGTTCAACGTCCCATCATGGCTGCGAGCAGAAATGTAACAATCTTCTTGAGAGCTACTACTGTTCCTGCAACAAAGGCTACGTCCTTGCTGCTGACAAGAAACTCTGCAACGGTAAGGCAAAGAAGCCGTCTATTTTACAAAAAAAATCGAATCAAATCTTCTGCTTTCCTAATTTTTACTTCCCATAAAATATGGCTTTCGGATGAAATGTATTTGTCTAAGATAGCACGTGTAAAGTGCTTTATACTGATTTGAGTGCCAACTGCTATCTCCAGTTAGTATATAGTTGGTAAAGCGATGAAGCCGAGTGAGACAAGATTGCATTGGTTTTGTAACATTGGTGGAATTTATATCAGCATTATGTTTTGCAGATGTTGACGAATGCAGTAACAGGACTCATGCTTGTGAACAAAACTGTCACAATACACGTGGTAGCTACACGTGTTCATGTAGAAATGGGTATGAACTGGCGTCCGATGGACGTGGATGTACAGGTAAATACAGTGTAATCAGCCCATGTGCATAATACGCGTCACAGTGAAAACGACAGACGTGCATGCTATTCACAGGTGCCCTTGAAGTGATGTGCTTATGAAAAAAGTTTAAGAATAATTAAAACGAAAAGAAAACGAGTGTTGGACGTCACATAATGGCTGTGAGTAATATTCATGGCGACTCCATTTGCTCTTGCAATGAAGGTTTTGTTCTTGCCGCTAACAAGAAATTCTGCAACTCTGTGTCAAAGATGTTTTTAACTCGAAAACTTTCTTCCTTACATTCATTTTTGTAATTTCTCGTTATGCATTCATAGGGGTAAACATTTTGCCAAAGGTTGTAGTTCCAATAACTCCATCTAAGCAGGAAGGTGAAAAATAATATTTTAACATGTTTTACTTTTTTCCAGATGTTGATGAGTGCAGTAACGGAACTCATGTCTGTGATCACAACTGTCACAATACACGTGGTAGCTACACGTGTTCATGTAGAAATGGGCATGAACTGGCCCTCGATACACGTCGATGTATAGGTAAATAGTATGCCATTAAGCTTGCATGTCACAGAGCTCATGTCAGCTGCTTGTTTTATAATTTTTTTGTGGTTAACATTTTTCAATGTATAGTGTATGCTAGATGCAAATTTGATCTTAGTTAATGATAAAAACAAATGTCTTTCCCAATAAAACCAATGGATTTTGTAACATTTGTTCACATTAAATAGATCTACTTCTTTACTTTCCAGACGTTGACGAGTGTAGTAACGGGACTCATGCCTGTGATCACAACTGTCACAATACACGTGGTAGCTACACGTGTTCATGTAGAAATGGGTATGAATTGGCACCCGATGAACGTGGATGTATAGGTAAATAGTATTCTACAGAACTTGACTGATGCATTTTGTTCTTAGTTGATCACATACCAAATGTACGGAGCTTTGTTAGTATCATATAAACTTTTTTAAATTTTCATCATTTTAATTTTCAAGTTTTATTTTATGGAATTTTCACCGCAGTGAAAATTATTTTCACCGCAGTGAAAATTATTTCTACCGCGGTGAAAATTATTTTCACCGCAGTGAAAAATAATTTACACCGCGGTGGGAATAAATTTTCACCGCGGTGGAAAATAATTTACACCGCGGTGATAATTCCTGGCCATCTCGGCCCGGGTGATGCATGCATGTAGGTTGTACGAATCCAAAATTTACCAGATGTCTGGGAAGTAAGTTGATAAAGATACTCACATGCACATGCAAGCGGTTTAACCAGTTTATGTGCCAATCATCCCAGGAATGTGGAGGAAGCGGGCAGTATTCGAATAGATTAAAAATCACCGAAATGCTGCAATGTTGTACGTCGCTTTTCCCTTTATAATAACTTGCGTATTATTGGGAATATTGGTAAAAAGAAACCTCTCCGAAGAAACCGAGATTACATCTATTAAGATAAGATCTATGGGCAAACACATCACACTAATATTTAAAAATACATTGTCCAAAAATAATGTTAAGTATTAAGTAATAACAATGGGATTCCCTCTGCATAAAACTGCAAGCGGGACTTTAATATATAGGTGGTAAATATAGATGGGAAACCTAAGTTAACGGCAGTGGCCCCACGAACAGATCCACCAACCTTGTGTGTATGTAACAATAGCATGCACCGTGACGGCATCTGGCAAATGTAAGGTTCTCATTACCTATTCATCACCCGTGCCGAGATGGCCAGGAATTACCACCGCGGTGGAAATTATTTTCCACCGCGGTGAAAATTGTTTTCCACCGCGGTGTAAATTATTTTCACCGCGGAGTAAATTATTTTCACCGCGGTGAAAATTCCATAAAATAAAACTTAAATGAAAATAGAAAAAAGTTAATATGATACTAACAAAGCTCCGTACAAATGTCATTTCCAATACGACTTATGATTTTGGTAACATTTGGTCACATGAAACAGATATTCTTTTTTACCTTTCAGATGTTGACGAGTGCAGTAACGGAACTCATGCCTGTGATCACAACTGTTACAATGCACGTGGTAGCTACACGTGTTCATGTAGAAATGGGTATGAACTGGCGTCCGATGAACGTGGATGTATAATTATTGGTAAATAATAATATGCTTATGGACTGGCGTGCACGGCAGCGAGCATGCTTTGTTTGACACCATTTATGTACTAGGCTAGAAACTTAACTTGCTGCCAATTGAACTGCCTGGCAATCTGCGTCATGGTCACCCCAGCTTAAATGCTTCCTATAACTTGTCATTCAAACGCCATCTACAAGTTAAAGTGTTGTCATTTTGGAAAGGCTTTTTAAAAATGCCCCCAAAACACATCCTTCACATGACTTGCACAAATTGTTATTGATGAGAGGTTGTACGGAATTACCCTGAGCGTCACACTTACATTATGGCATATACATGTATAGTAAACTTAGTATACCATACTTGAAGGGTACATCTGGTAAGCGATGTGCCGTTACTCTGTGCAGATACTATTTTGGGTTTTAGGGCACATTCCCATAGATTTTAAATCGATCTATCCCTGTGGGGAGTCTCACTAAATTACTGTAAAATAGTATAGTAATAATAATAATAGTAATAATAAAATGTCCTAATATCAAACCATTGAAAATTGAATTGTATGAATTAGAAAAACTGTTA